CAGCCCCTCGCAGCAGCTGCTGCGGGACGATGGGCCTCCCCGGGCCGGGAACCCGCCGGCCCCCCCCGGTGACTTGTCACCAGCGCCAGGGAGGGAGTCACTGAAGCACCGCAACAGCTGAGCGGTCGCTGCGCTCCCTCAGAAAAAAACAAACCAAATCATCTCTGTTTTGCCCATTTAAAACTCGAGAATCTTTCCTACAACGGTTTCTGTACAGATCCAGTAACCCACCTTGCTTGCTGGTAATGATGGCTAGGCTTCTTTTTATGAGTCAGATGAGAAATCAGACGTTAATTGTAAAACTCTAGCTTGCTAATTAGTGGCATATAAACTATTCATTAGTGGCAAATTAAAATCAAAACACACCTTATTCGTACTCTCTGACATACAATTTTGAAGGCACATATTGTTTCAAACTACAGCTTGTATCACTGGCACAGCAAATTGAGATCCTGAAAGGTTTCTCTCCAGGATAAATAATTAAAATATATTCTACTTTAATTGACATTATAGAGGACACAAATGAGGTTTTCCTTTTAGAAAGAAATAGCAGTTTCTAAATACAGCTTTGCAGGCTGTAGAATGGAGGTTTCAACCAAATGAATAGTCATTACTACCTTTTCAGTGATGTGGGCCTTTTGATCAGAAAAGAAATTAGCTCTAAAGGACAGACAATAGGAAGCCTGCCCTGCAATAGGAAGAAAATTAGATGTCTAAGGCTCTTAACAACACCTATTTCTATAAACCATGGAGCTTCTTGCTTTTCAATTACAGCTGTTCATTTCATATAAGGAAAGTGGAAAAACACAGGGGGAATATAAACTCTGTTGCACCAAAAAAGCCCAGGATAGGGCAGCAGGCAGGCAGTCTTTCCATTTCCCTTTGTTTTTATTATAATCAGTTAACTGAAATTATATATATTGTATAATACCAAGAGTATGCAGTATAGCGTTCTCGGGGTGAATCAAGCATTCACGATGGACTATATTCAGTAAAGGAACTAGTAAAACATGAGAAACTTTGTTAGGTAGTTGGACTTTTCCACTGCACATCAAATTATCTATTTTGCACGTGCATCTCCTTCTTGTGTGCATTTTTCAGAGAAGACAAAACACAGCTGAAGAACTTAAGGAAAACAAAATGCTGAATAACAGTCTGCTGTCTTTTGGTTGTACTAAAAAACTAACTCCAGTTCTTCCGAGCTGAAATGAATGTTCTTTCAGTATGCTCAGGACTGAGAGATTATTTCAGGCATGTTCTCCCCTTACTTTTAACTTTACATCTCGGTTGTTTTAGAAATCTTACTCTTACTTTTAAAACTTAAAATTTGTTTCTTGTGTAATAACTTTGAGTTCTCTTTCAAACTATTTTGTTTGAACATTATTTTCTGAATGTTGTTATTCCTCCTGAATATAAAACTGATATAAGTTTCCTTACAAATCTGAGACACAATCATAAAAGCGTACCTTTTTTCCTCCACCATTTCTCCTTAGCCATACTTTTATGATTAAACAAGTAAATGATAATTTGTTATTAGCTATGCAATTTGCTGTGATTGAACTAAGCTTTCAGTGACGATCTGAACATATAATAGCCACAAATTTTATTGTAAACAAGTCCTGTTCTCATATTGATTCAGGTGGATTACAGAGACCTGTAACAAATAACTGAAAGTCACAGAGATTTCCCCCCCTCATTTTTTTCATTCTTCCTATTTATCTATTTATCCTTCTTTCTTTCCTTTTCCTTATTTTCCTTTTCCTTTTCTTTCATTTTTCTCTTTCTCTCTCTCTCCCTATTGTACTAATTGTTTAGAACTAAGGCTACATGGCTAATTCAAAGGGTTGATCAAACATATATGAATTGTTTTTGGTGTGAGAAGGTGTCTTATTACCCTCATATAAGAAAGTGTTCAATACATACTACTTTCCTTGTCCAGAAAACTAAATCACATTTAACTTCTACCTAGAAGTTATTTTAATATGAAATATGAATGACAGCTTTTTATTCAGTGTCTGTATCCCCCTTCACTCCTGCTTTGGCCTTGTGATCCGTAGAAATAAACAATAAGAAAAAGTTTAATCTGTTAAGAATGATCTCCTAACTCACCAATTGGAGTCATTAATGTCAGTATTTGAAGTAATCTCCCTGCTTAAGAGTAGTTAGAAGGTTATGATTAATACAAGCCGCTGCCTCACTTTTTACTGGGACAATACTTCCAACTGTTTTGTAAGTTCATAATTAAAACTTCATTTTATTTGAAATGAATTTGTCTGAGAAAAGTTACCCATACTGGCTAGTGGGAAAAGCTTCCCTCCACGCAAATAGGCAGCTCAAGTGTCACTGAGACTTCTGCAATTCACAATACAAAACCTATGTAAAGTTCTTCATCAATGAGGAGCCCGGGAAATCCCAGCACCGGTGCTGCAATTCTCAGTCTAGATCTCACAGCGATGTTTTACTTCTGATAGTATCTTCAATCCCTGTAAACAAGTAGAGGGTAAAGAGCTGTCTGCAGGGGAACAAGTGAGTCTAAACTGACCTTGACTCTCAAAATCTGAAAATCTCACTTAAAATTGTTACAGTATTGGAGCAATGAGATTTTGGAGCAAACTTCTACTAAGAATAGAAAAGTAGGGAACCTAAAGGGCTTTGAAAACTAGAATGAACAGTTTGTGAGTGCGGCGGTGTTGGAGGGGCTGGACACGATCAGATGTAGAAGCCATCAATACATGCTCAGTGTTAGTGAGGAGGGGTTTCAGTTCCTTTAGCCCTCTCAGTCCACCATGGAGAAGACAAGGCCAGCCATGAGAGCAACTCATGAGACCTGAAAATCCTTTCTGCTCTTTTTATTCCTAATGTATATTGATAAATGATGGCAATATGTGCTCCACAGCCTTTTGTAAAGCAAATGTGTACATATACATATACAATAGGTATAAAATAACAGAAATGAAACTCATTGGAGTATCAGTTATCACACGGACTGTTTTCATGGCACAAACATATTTCTGACCTGAACATGAGTCACAAGTAACTACACCATTTAAATTAATATTCAGCACTCATCCTCTATTTCTACAATAGCTCAATTACCTGATATTGAAGGTATCTCCCAAGAACTGCTCAATTCCTAGCCTTGCTGAACAGTGCAAAAACCCATGACTAACCACCATCAGAATTCTCTGCTACTGCTTATTTCTAGATGCAATGACTGCTTAGGGGTATGAACAATGGAGCATATGCTCAAGGTTCCTATTATCTGTGTTAGTGGTCATATTCTGTAGATAACACCTCTTCTAGTAGGGTAAGTACAGCTGGCACTTGCATAGGAAGAACCTACCAATGATACAGAAGCTAAGGACTTGTGAAACAGGTATTTCAAGGCCATTTTTGAAACATGTAAACCAGTCGCACAATGTGAATCTAGAGAGATATGGTGGATCTTGCTACTGGTGCACCCATCACCTTCTTCATCCAGAGAATCTGATCAAAACCAAATTCTCCTTGGTTAAGAGGCCCTTTTTATTCCACTAGATGCCCTTCTCTGGACCTATCAGGAACATGTGCAGGGTGATTACTACAAGATGGTGCTCCTTGCTCCACAGGACAGTGATGAGATACAGGATTATAAGGTGTTTCCAGGTGGATTAGACGTTGGGGCTGAATGTGGGTGAGGGTTACAGGACCCTCGTCATGTTAGAAAAGAGAAAAAAACCTACCAAACACGCAGAAGAAAAGAAAAGGCTACTCAGTGAGTGTAGCATGGAGCGGAAGAAGGGATTTGATATGCAGTCCTGAGGCTGCTACCTGAAGAACCTCATTAGGGAGTGAGGAAGAGAATGCTGTGTGATGCAGAAGCTACAGGGCAAACAGCTTCTAAAGGAATCACTTGGTGGCAGAGAAGTTAAGTCAGGTGG